TGGTGTTTTGTATGCTGCCCATGAAGGAGCTGAAGGAGGAACACGTGGCCAGGGATCCCCTGGGGCTTCAGGCTCAGGTCCTTCACCTGCAGCTCGGCCATCTTGGCATGGACAAAGACCGCAAACTTCTCTAGCCTGCAGGACCAGGAAGGTGAGGTCAGCCTGGTCCGTGCCCAGGCTCCCGGCCCCCATCCTCCCTTTAATTCTGATTAAAGGGAGGAGAAAGGGTTGTCTGTCCCTCTAGCACTCTCCCCAAGGAAAAAATCCCCAAAAGGAACTGGGAGCTTCGTTCTTGCCAGCTCACTGACAGGTGGAAGGTGAGAAGACCAGCCCCTCCGCAGGCATGGTGTCAACTTCTCTCTGAGCGTCTGCCCTGAGCCCCTGTTCTCAAGAGTCAACTAGGCGGCCACTCCGATGAGACCTCTGGACTGTTTAGTGTTTGACTCGCTAACTGGCCTAGAAGCTGAACTTTGTCTCCTGTTTGCCACTCTATTCCCACAGTTCGTGTCCACTTGCAGGAAGGATGAGCGGGTTGCGGGGGAAGTTGAGGATGTTCCATTGGTTCCTTCATCTCAACCCGTCCAAACGGAGCTCAGTGTCTCCCACTCTAAACCAGATCCCTTCACGGTTCCCATTCCAGTGAACGACCCCGTCAAGTTCCTCAGCAGTCATTCTTGCGTCTCCTTTCTCCGCCTCCCCAAACCCCACCAGCAACTACGTCCTATCTAACTCCTTATTGTCCCGGAATGCGCTTATCTGCCAACCCCCTAACACTTCTCGAGCATCTGCTCTCACCTGGGCAACTGCAACAGTTTGCAGTTTCTCCCCTTCCGGTCCACCTTCCACACTGACCAGGAAGAAAACGCCACACCTCAGCTTGACTCTCTGCGCTCCCTACTACCCTCAGAAGTCCACCTCTCTACCCTGACTTTCAGCACCCCAATCTTCCCTCTCCTGCCTTTCCTCTCTTCAAATCCAGCCACACAAGGCTTCATCATCTCCCAAACACACTCTGCTCTTATACCTTCCTGTGACTGCTATGTCCTCCCAAACTCCTCTACCTGGAAAACTCCTACTTATCCTTTAAAATCCAGCTCGAATCTCTCTTCCTCCATGACACTTTGCTGATTTTCACCCCACACCAGCATATGCTACAGTGTGGTATTCCCTTCCATCCAAACCCTGACCAGGTGGTTATCAGGATGCATTTTCACGGGTCTGAGAGCTCCTGTGAGCAGAGAATAAGTCTCATGTCCCCAGCACCCATGAGAGGGCCCAGTACAGAACAGGGGCTCGGTGATGATTTATTGAATGAATAAATAAATCGGGAATGAACTGTTCCCATAGCCTAAAATGTCCATCCTTCATCCCGTCTAGCCTGAAGGCTTACCTCACTCAGGAAGTCCTCTCCCTCACTTACAATAATCATCGCTAATACTGAGCGAGTATTCACTATGTGCCAGGCACTCTGCTAAGCTCTTTTCATGTATTATTATCACATGGACTCTCCCTACATCGTAGCCTCTATTTTATAGACAGAAGACAGGATAGCACAGTGGTTAAGGGCCTGGGATCTGGCATCAGACAGACCTGGCCTCCTCTGGGCTCCTGTACTTACCAGCTCCATGATCTTGAGAATAAGAAGGGAGCCTACTTCCCAGAAAGTTGTTTAGAGGACTAAAGGGAATAATCCATATGGCATGCCTGACACAGAATAGGTGCTCAGTAAATGTTATCTATTATCATTATGACTCGAGGCAGAGCTGGGACTCTAGGGCTATGCTCTTAATCTCCGCCCTAAGTGCCTTAAATTCAGAGCAACTTCAAGTTTTCTGCACACAGTCCAGCCTTTGAGTCTCAGGTCTGGATGATGAACTTGCCTTGAATCTTTGTCTTTCCTGCAGGAAAGATCAAAGATCCCAGACTCAGGGTGCCCCGGCAACACAGCCTGGCACAGGAGCTGGGGCTCCTGGGCCCAGGTCGTGAGCTCATTCGTAGGGAAGAAGGGAGCCCAGCTCCAATTTACCTCCCCCGCAACCAGGCCCCGACTCACTCCTTCCTCCGGGAGAGCAGCAAGCAGTCATTGAAGAGGTGCAGGTAGACTGCCTTGCTGGACAGCTTTAGCTTGGCCGGGGGAGCTGCGGGCAGTGGTGCCAGCTCCACCAGCTCCCCATGCCGCACCAGCCAGCGGGCCTGAGAGATCAGTGGGAAGATCTGGGAGAATGGAGGAAGAGGGAGGACAGGTCAGGCCCAGAAAAGCAGGGCGGAGAGCACAGGCCAAGGATGGGAGGGGGAGGCAGCGATGAACTGGCCTGCAGTCCCCAGGGAAGGAGGGGGCGAGAACTCCCCTTTGTGTGCCCATTCCACCCACTGCGGGCATGCACCTTGCCCTCAAAGTGGATCTTTTTGCTCAGGTGGATGAGCTCCTCCGTCCTCTTCATGGACTGCACGCTGGCATTGCATTCTTGTACCAGCTGGGGAGGCCATGGCTGGGTCACCTGCAGCCCCCAACCCTGGCTCCCAGAGCCCAGCCTCAGACTCCCGCCTGGGGATCAGAGGCTCTAAAGGCCAGGGCTCTTTTAGAGACATACTGGGGTTCCAGGGAGGCCCTCCAGAGCTAGACAGCCCCTATCCCGCTGAACTCACCTCCTTGAGTGCATTGAAGGCCTTGGTGGCCATGTCTTCATCTTCAGAGCCCTGTGCTGTCCGCTTCAGGATGTTCTGGAGGGTAGGGTTGGTGCAATGAGGCAGGCAATGACCTCCCCCTGTGACCCTGCCCACCCAGTGGTGCCCCGGTGGAGGGCACAGCAAGCAGCATCTCCACCTAGGTACCTCCACCAGCATCTTAAGGCGTGTGATCCTCTGAAATGGCAGGATGAGGAAGGAGGTGAGGGGCAGACGTTGGCACACAGGAGACTCCTCCAGGCGAGCCAGGATGCTGGGGAACTTGGGGTTATCCAGGCTGGAAAATGGGAGGGTCTGGGGTCACAGGCGAGCCTGAACTCCTAGTAGCCATGACCCCAGTCATCCCGTTGTTCTTCAGGTGTCTTCTTAGCACATCCTTCCTGCATCCTGGTCACAGAGCCCTTTGAAGGGACCCCTTCCTCTCAGGTCACCCTTCCTCACCCAGTACTCTGCACCTACTTCTCCTGCCTGAGACTCCCTCTACCCTCCCCGCTTTCAGAGCCTACAGCAGGCGCTGGTAGGTGCGCTCCTGGTAGGCCTGGTTGGTGACGTAGGGCAGGTAGACACGGCGAAAGGCTGGACAGTGGTCCAACACAATATCGCACACGCTGAAGCGCAGGACATCTGCCTCCAGCCGCTGCTCCAGGTCCTGAAGGAACCTGAGGGATTGGAGAGTGGTCAGGGCCAGGGTGAGACCTCGGGGTGAGATTTAGGAGACTAGCCAATCGCGGGCTCGGCCCCCGCCCCGCTGTTAGGCCAGGCCCCTCCCTCACCTCTCGCTGGTGCTCTTGACTTCAGGCAGTTTGGAAAACAGCCACTGCTTGTCCTGAGCCCCCAGGCACTCACTCAGCTCAGCTGAGCCTAAGAAGTGACCCACGGCCACTGACAGGCTGTGGATGTATGAAGCCTCGGACGTGATCAGCTCAAATTTGGCCTGAGCAAGGGCGGACGCGGGGTCGAAGGGGTTGGATCAGTCCACACCTGACGCCCGTGCCTCGCATAGTCCACCTCACCACTCCACCACCCCACCAAGCCCAGGACACCACCTCCTTAGACATAGCCGCACCCCCTGTCCCCGCCCCTCCTCTAGCCCTACCCCCGATCTGGTTCCTGGTGAAGTTGGGGACCCACCTCCTGCCGCGCTTAATTGTTCAAACCTAACTGAGGCCCTCAATTGCAACCCTAGCTAGGTTCATCTGGCCTGGCCCGAGTCATCCAATGGCCCCGTCCCCACTGGCTCCGCGCCTGCCGTTGGCCCTGCCTAGTCGTGCGCGCATCAGGCGGTTTCACTCCGGCTGGCTCTAAGGGTCCGGTATCCTTGCTTTCAGCTATCCCTCCTCCTCTGGCCCCGCCCTACCCTAGGCCTCGCCCGCGTTGGCTCCGCCCTGACCCCGCCCCTTCGGCCCGCTTCTCCACCCGCCTTCCGCTCCAGGGCTCCTCCATTCCCGCTGGCAGTGAGCCCCGCCTTGTCAGGTCCTAGCATTCACCTTCACATTAACAGTCCCATCGACCCTACACCCTTGTGGCCCCGCGTTCCCCGTTGGGTCCTATGCCCACCTTCTGCAGTTTGCAGCCCCGCTGGCCCGGTACCCCTATTGCCCGGGTCTCCACTTAAGTCCGGGAACCACATATTCCTGGACCGCGCCCCTTTTGTTGCCCCACCCCCTCTGAGTCCCAGGACCACCTCCCACGACGGGCAGCCCCGCCGGCCCCGCCCCTCCCCGCCGGGGCCCCGCGCACCTCCTGCAGTTTGCAGTCGCGCAGGCTCAGCGTGGCCAGGACGCCGCTGCCGCGCACGTCGGGGATGTCCTGCCACAGCGAGAAGGTGGAGCCTCGTGCCGAGCGCTGCGCCCGGAAGGAGCTGCTCGGGGAGAGGTTGGCGCGCGGCGGCCCGGGCCCCTCCTCCGCGCCCTCGGCCTCGTCCCCAGGGCCCTCCTCCTCGCGCTGCTGCCGCCGCAGTTCGCGGGCGCTGGCCACGTCGCTGTATTCCTGGTAGAGGACGGCTGGGCGGGGAGAGGGGCGGGGGAGGGCTGTGGGGCGCCCTCCAGCCGCGGCTCGGCTCCTCCCCGACTCCCGCAAAAGCCCCCCTCAACAAGCCTTTCCGGCGGTTCACATGAATGAGTGAATTCATTCATTCACTCACTCACTCATTTAATAAACACTGCTTGAGCACCAACTGCGTGCAAGTCCCTGTGCTGGATATTGAGAATCCAGTTCTCTCACACAATCTCTACCTCTCAACTCTCCAAACCCCAGTTTCCCAGTTTCCTCAAACCCCCAGCCCCTTCCCTCATGACCCCCTCCCACGTACAGTTAAGGAGGAACCGTGACTGGCGTCTTTCGCTGGCGCTCCTGGAACCCAGAGTTGGCTCTTCCTGCAAGTCCAGCCTAGGAAAGAGAGAACATCAGGGCTCTTCTTTGCCTGCACCCCCGCCTCAGACCCGATCCCCAAGTGGGAGATGGTACCTGGACTCGGGCCAGCTGCCATGGCCTCCGCTTGGGTCGACAGGGGCTGCCATCGCCACACCGTCCACCCTCACCTCTACACCACGTGACTCCCTTCCAGATGCTTTCCCTGGAGAGGGCAAGAGCTGAAGGTGGGTGGCCCCAGGAATGGCCCTGGGCACCAAGCGCCACACTCCAGATGACCAGCACCCAGTCTCAGGTGTCCAGTGAGTGTGCCTTGCCCCACCCTGCATCTGGCTCGTGGGCTGCTCTTAGGGCCGGTGGGGAGGAGCTGATACCTTCCCGGGCTGCTCCAGTGCCCGAGCCAGGGGTCAGTGCCCTGGCTGCTGAATTCCGCCCCAGGCGCAGGGAAGAGTGCAGCCGGGTCATCAGCTCAGAGGCTGAGAAGCGTCTCCGCTCAGGCCCTTCCAGGCCCACTCGGGCGGGCCCAGACAGCTCCAGTGGCCTAGGCTCCTCTGTACTCAGGGTCTGCTCTGCCACCTGGCCAGGCTGGAGGAAGACAGGGTGGGCCTCCGGGCTGCCAGGGACCTCTTCACGCTGGTACACTCGCATCTTGCGCCCTGCAGGGAGGTGGGGGTGAAAGCACAGGCTGACACCCACTGGGGTGTCTCCCCACCTCCTCTCTGCTGCTTCCCTGTGGCCCTGAGCCTCTGGGCAACATTCCCAAGAGAAAGGGCAATGTTTTTGCAGAGATCTGGTCCCCAGAGAAATGGGAACAAGACGGGTATAGAGAGCACATTGCCTGCCTGCAACAGGTAAAGGATGGGCAAAGGGCTGGGGGGCCCAGGACGACCACTCACTTGCTGTGTAACCTCAGACAAGTCACTTGTCTTCCCTGAGCTCCAATTCCCTATTACTAAAATCTACCACTTGTCCTGCCTGTTTGGGGAACTCTGGGGCTTAAGAGTCCTAAAGAGCCACCCAACCTCTCCTCTATCTGCCCCACTGGGCCACCACTCCCTCACCCGGAGTGACTCACAGGCCGATTTCTTCTCTGAGCCATGGCTGGCCCGGCGCTGTGGCTGTGGGTGCTGGGGACTCCAGGGTCCCTCCAGAGCTGGGGGCTGGGCACTAGGACAGTGTGGCCAGCTGCCAGCCCTGCTGGGTCGCATTCCCCCACTGGTGGAGATCTCGGTGTCTGGGACTCCTGGAGATGGTGGCCATAGCAGCCCTTGGAGAGGAGCAGGGGTCCCCAGGGACCAGCGGCTGCCAGGAGCCTGCAGCTCCTCTGGGGTGACAGGGAAGAGGTCCAGACACACAGGGCTTGGGGGCTGCAGGGTGGGTAACTCCACAAAGGACAGACTCTCCTGTTGGCACACAGCTACTGGGTGGCGGGCAGTGCCAGGTGGCCCAACCAGGTGGGGCTGAAGAGTGGCAGGTGGCCCACAGTCCATTCCTCCTTTACTCTACTGCTCACCTGGGCCTGCAGGGGAGAAGGTATCAGAGCCAGACACAGGACAGCAGGGCTGGCCAGGAAGCCACCGTGTCCTGCAGGCCTGGACAAACCTTTGAGTAGACTTATACCCACACATCTGTATAAGCACACTCACACACCTAATTATATAGGAATAGGTAATACTTACTTGGCACTTAATGAATAATAGGCCAAGTGCTTTATATTATCTCATTTAATCCTCACATCCCTGAGTTGATGCTGTTATTATCCCCTACCTATAGGTAAGGAAAGTGAGGTGCAGAGGTTGTTATTTAATGAATGATGGAGCCAGGATTCAAACCCAGGCAGCCCAGCATCTGAGTCTGCACTTTTAAACACCTTGTATATTTTCTAACTCACTGACATACAATCAGATGTAGAGACGCACACTGTCACACAAGTCCCTGTATGTTCCACGCACATCCAAACACACTCACAAGTACACACATTAGCATACCTACTTTCACAGACACACTGAAGCATTTCAAATTCATAGGCTCACACATTCACACACTCTTTTACACAACTACATATTTTCACACACACAGTGACCCATCAGATATTTACATATCCACTCAGCTTTCTCACGCCCCTGTTCCATTCACACTCACGCACCAGGATGTAGACACAAACACACAGGCCCAGAAAATCCCGGCTTTGGTGTTACCCAACCTCCTCTCCCATGCCCAGCATTGCAGCCTTCAGCGCTGAGTGGGGCCCACACCCATGCCAAGCTGGCTGGGAGGGTCACAGACTGGCAGGCGTGCCACTACGCAGATCATGCTGGGCCCTCCCAGGAGAAGGGCAGGGAGGTGTCCCAACCCCCAGTTTTGGGGTGAGAGAGGGTTTCTTCCCTACCCCAGCACCCAGCCCCGGCATCAGGCCAGGCTGAACCCAGGCTGAACGGGTCCTCTCCGGACAGGAAGTCACCCCAGGGAGGCTGTCAGAGCCTCAGAGCCGAATGATCCAGGGGTCCAAGCCCCACCCCCCAGGCCTTGCCCTGTGGCCCTCCGCCGGCTGCCCTCCTGCAGACCCTCACCTCTCCAGCGAGACCCGGTGCTGACGTTCTGCTGCTCCGGCAGGGGAAGCCCTCTGTCTGCCCAGCTGGCTGGGGGAGATCCCACCCAGACAAAGAGTTTGATTCATCAAACCCTGTGGTGAGGCAAGCGGTAGGGAGGGAGGGAGCAGGCAGCGGCTGGGCGGGGGCCTACCCTAGCCTGGCCTCGTTGTGGGCAGGCGGGGCAGCAAGGACCCCCCCACCCCCAAGAGGCCCCTCAGGCCAAAGTGGCAGTGCCCAGCCTGGCAGGGCCAGAAGACCCCGGAGACAGAGACCAAGTTAGAGACTTAGAGAAATGGGGACCCTTTAGACAGTAACTCAGAAACTGAGAGCAAAAACACTGAAAACCAGAAATCACAGACTCTGAGACATTCAGGGACCCAGAGATGGAGACAGAGACAGAGACACTGAAAATTCCGGATAGACCAGAAACTCAGAGACAGATGTGAAGCCCAGAAAACCCAGGGAGACTGATGGAGGAATGTTTTGCACCCCATGGGTTTGCCAGTTTAGTGGGGAAGCCAAAAACAAAAACAGTTACAATCCAGGTTGGCAAGAGCAGAGCCAGAGGAACTATCAGAGAGAGCAGGGTGCTGGGCTCAGCTTGACCTGAGCATTCCAGGAAGGCTTCCTGGAGGAAGTAATAGGTAACTAACTGTTCTGGCTGAAATATCCAGGGACCCAGTGTATATACATAGGGAGAAACAGTGACCCTGGGAGGGAGGGAGGGAGGGAGGAGAGGACCCATTGGGGAAGGCTAAATCTGTGACTGGGCCCCACTCTCTCTGCACAGCCCCTTGGCTCTTCCCTTGATCTCTCGTTCTTTGCCTGGGTGTGGGTAGGGGTGGCTGGTCCTAAGGGAGAGTTACTGTCCCCCACAGGGATTGCTTTAGCTTGTACCTTAAGCCTCTGTCCATCTAAGCAAGTCTTAGTTTCCTCATCTGGTAAATGGAGTAGTCATGCCAACTTCAAAACGCTAATGAGAATTAAGGAGTACTCATGTAGCACGTAGTGGGAGCTTTGTCATTGATAGTCATTATTATTATTCTTTCTCCAGCCAGGGGGATGGCTTGGGCCATCACACAGATGGGAAAACTGAGGCAGTGATGGTGAGACACATCCTACTTTGTAGGAGCATATGGCAGGAGACACAGGTGACCACTTCCCACCAGATGGGTCTCTTTCTCTCCAGGAACCAGAAGTCCTCAACACAGAAGTTCTACTTGCTTCTGTGGGCGCACAGGTGCAAGAATACACATACGCCCCTACTCCCTTGTATTCTGGAGATTCTCTCCACTTGGGTTCTGGAAGCCCCTAAAGGGCAGAAAGGATCCCCCCTTGTCAGTTGTGGAGATAAATGAGCAAAACATGGAGTTCTCCTAAAGCTTCAGAGGAGAAGCCTGAGTGAATGTTGGGTGATAATGGCACAAGGCTTTCTGGGCAGATGGGGCTAGAATTAAGTCCCGAAAGGGGAAGTTAGAAGTAAGTCAGCCTCCACCTCTGTCCAGGCCAAGGGGCAGTGGAAATGACCCATCTAGCTGGGCTGCCTGCCTTGTGGCCTTCTGGGGTTGTGACCCACTTAACCTCAATGCTGGGGACCAAGAAAGGGCAGAGCTGTGTTCATATTGTGTGTAGTTCATCTCTGCTACACAAAAAAGTGAAAAACCTTAGGAAGAGAACTGGCCCAGGTAGCAGGAACATTATCTGCCTAAGACACGACCACCACAGTATACTCTAGTACCCACTAGGCAAGGGTCATTCTGGAACACATAGGGGAAAACCCCTGCCAAGATTCAAGGCCCAGTGTGTGACATGGACCAGCCGAGTGGCCTTAGGCAAGTTATAGCCTGTCCAATGGCCTTAGTGTCCCCACCTGGAAAGTTGCCCCTTCTAGGAAACCTATGTCATCATGAGTGTCTCTGCAGGTTGAGAAGGAAGGGCAGAGGCCAAGGGTCCCATCCAGTGGGCGCTGCTAATCACGGACAGTGGGTCCACTTTGCGAAGTTGGCAGAGATGGTCCCTGGACACGATCATGGTCCAAGGAAAGCATCTATGGCCTCCTGTGCCTAGCTTTCCCTGCCCCCTACCTGGTACCCCTTGCCCTGCTGCCCAGAAGAATAGAGACCCTGCCAGAAACCCTCTGCCCCTTAAAGGACAAAGCCAATTGAAAGGTCATGGCTGGAAAGGAGATCCAAGCCAAGAAGGTTATGGAGCCCTAGGAAGCCATAAGTGAGTGGGGACCAGGATCAGAGGCCAGTCAGGCAGCACAAAGGACTCACTTAGGAAGACTGGCGGGAGGAGGATGGGGCTGCTTACAGCCAGGTGGGGCCCTACCTCAGCCAGGGAGCTCCGTCCAGCCTCCAGCACGGTCCAGGGCTCGAGGCCACCCTGGGGGCTCTGGGGTTGCAGCCCGGTCCTCAGGGGGCGATGTCAGCGTGGCCCCTGAGCCCGGCAATGCAGGCTCCTGGGTATTGTGTGGGGCAGGGAGGGGGGAGGTGAAGGCGGAGGGAACCTCGCAGGCGGGCAGGCGGCTGTCTCAACGTGCCTGCTCCCCGCCCCCCTTCCCCAGAACCGGTTTGGCCAGTCTGGGGTACAAGAGGGGGGCTGGAACAATGGGAGTCCTATGCCCAGAAGAGGTTCTGAAGGACCCCAGACCGACGTCTTAAAGACAGGGAGGCACTGCTTTTCCTCCCAGGAGACAAGTCACCCCTCTTCTAGAGCTTCCCGAAGGTGAGATGTGCTCAGGGGGCTCCTTGGGACCAGGGAGCATCCTGGGAGCTGCACAGAGAACCTCTCAAATCTTGGACCCCTCAGGGACCCTGAGAACTCGGTGTGCTGACCCTCTCTGAGCCGGCTACAGCATCCATAAAATGGGAACACGCATCTCTATGATTGGAAGATGACGTTGTGATGCATCTGGCATCATCCTGGGGACCTTTCCAGCATCACTGCTCCTTATGAATGACCCCCCATCCCCTGCTGCCTAGAATGACCCACCTCACCATCTCCAGTGGACTCTTCCACCAGGAAACCTTCTCAGGCTCTACTACACACCAAATGAACCCTCAATAAATGTCCAATTCGAACAGCCCAAGTACAACCAGCCTCCAGTAAGGAGGACTTACTCTGTGCCAGCCTTGCAATCTTCCAAAGCCTGTGAAAGGGGAAGCTGCTTTCTCCCTAATACCACCTGCCATTTATTTGAGCACTCAGTAATTGCCAGGCACTTAGTATTAACATGAATGTGTACATAAACACTAATACTTACATTACTAATAATTCTTATTGTATACTCACTATGTGCCAGGCATTGTCCTGGATACTCTTACTGTTCCCACTTTTCAAATGCGGATACAAGACTTATACAGATTGTAATGGGCATTATCCCATTAAAATCCCTCATCAGCCCTGTGAAGTCCCTATACCACAGATGATGAAATTGAGGTTCCAGAGATTAAATAACTTGCTCAAGTTCACACAGCTAATAAGAGCCAGAACTCATATTCAAATCCATGTCTGTCTGACTCCACCACCAACCTGTGTCCTTAACCACTGCTTCATAAGGCTTTGGGGAGGATCTGGTAAAAATGTGAAAATCCATTGGGAGGTGTCTCAGCTGAACTAAATTCTTTTATTATTATTCATACTCTACAGGCCTTGATGAACATACAGGACAGGGGATCCAGGGCCCAGACCCCAGTGAACTCTCCCCTGCCAACCAATGACCATTCAGTTCAAAGCGATTGGGTCCTTCCACTCTCTTATCCCCTCTGTCCCCCGCAGAGCATCATTACATGAGATGCTGCACGCAGCGGGTGGGGACCGGGTCTCCACGGAGAGATGGCAAGCTGGGGCGCAGAGAGAGGTTTACTGTCAGCATTGCACATAGGACAGGATACGGGGAACAGGGAGAGGGAGGCAACGCAGGACTAGGGATCTTCAGGGCCCGACCTTCGGGACGCTGGCCAAGGTACTGCCCAGACCCCTAGCCGAAAGCAGAGGACCACAATCGAAAGAGCATCCTGGAGGACCAAGGGTCCTGGAGGGGCAGTCCGGCCTCACTCTCCCCTGCGTCCTGGGCTCCGGAGACAGCGCCTCTGCTGCAACGGACAGAAGGGACGAGTCAGGCCGAGTAGGCTGGCTGGCCCTCCAGAGCAGAGACTCGAGCAGGAGCAACGTTTAAAAGGGGGCGTGGCGTGGGAGGAGTTTGGTGAAAGGCGGGGCCAGGAGATAATTAGAGGTAATCTGGCCAATCCTCCCTCCCGGTGAGGACAAACTAGTGGGAGGGGCCAAACCAGAGGGCGGGGAAAGAAAGCTAAACTAAGGCCAGGGGGCGGGCAGAGGGGGTGGGGCTAGGGTCCGCAGGCCTTGCTGACCGAAAGCAGCGCCTCCCGGTTGTGCTCCAGAGATTGCTTGGTCAGGAAGCGCCCGCGCTTTATCTTGGTAGCCAGGGCGGCTGGCACGTCGGGCACGAGCCAGGCGATGAGGCGCAGGAAGAACACCACGTGCTGGGGAGAAGGGGGACCAAAGAGAGAATGACTGCCTTAGCAATCTTAATTTATGAAGCACTTACTAAATGCAAGGCACTATTCTGAGGGTTTTCTGGGTCTTAATTCATTTAATCCTCACAATTCAAGGAGGTGAATACAATTACTACTCCTGTTTTAAAAGTCAAGAAATTGAAGCATAAACAACTTGTCGTTTGTCCAAAGACACAGACGTATAATTCGAACCCCTTAACACTGGGGACCCTGTTAGAGGCAGGGCTTGAGAAAGAGGATCTTGAACAAAGCTGGAAGAAATGGTTCCTCTCTTTCCTCCAGATCTATTGCCAAGAGATAACAGTAGTAGTAGTAGTAGTAGTAGTAGTAGTAGTAGTAGTAGTAGTAGCATTAAATCATTGAGCAGATACGATGTACTAGGCACTGTGCAAGTGCTTGACATTGAATCTTCATAACAATCCTATGAAACAGATTCTGTTCTGTAACATATCCCCATTTACAGCCAGTAGGAGGCAGAGGTTGAACTTGAACCCGGGTCTGTCCGACGCACAGATGGCTGAGCTTACCTCGAAGGCGATGAAGCCCAGACGCACAGCCAGCAATTCCAGTATGAGAAAGTGAGGTTCCCCGGCATGAAAGACCTTGTACCCAGGTTGCAGATTGTGGAGGGCGCGGGGTTCCGCCACGCTCTCGACTCTGCGAAGGGCACTCCTGCCCCTCCCTGCTAGAGCCTGGCCCAGCCCCTTCGGCAAGCACGCCCAGACAGCTCTGCCCACCAATCAGCTGCCCTCCCAGCTTCCTGCCCTCCCAGCGGGGCCCCGCCCCACCGCACCCACAGGCTCAGCGCCTCGCCCCTCCCAATGAGGCCCCAACCCAAGTTCAAGCCCCGCCCCTCTGACACAGGTCCCGCCCCTTCCGCGTTCCGCCCCCACCCCCACCCCGTCTGGTAGGTCTCTGCAGGGCGTGTGGTTCCCCTGCACAAAGTAGGCTGGAGGTGTGGGCGCCCGCGTGGAAGGTGACAGAGCCGCGTAGATGGCTGTGCAGTTCGTCCTAGTACAGGAGATGCGGCAGAAAGTTCTAAGTGAAGGGGCTGGGGAAAGCTTGCAGGGCCCAATCCCCTAACTCACTATCCTGGGTCCAAACCCACTCCCGCAGGCAGCATGAGCCTGAGCCTCGGGGTCCTCGCCCTCTGCCCCTACTTCCCAATCTCT